TGGGGGAAATTAAAGATATTCTCTACTCACTCAGTATTTCAAAATTATGCACTGAAGATATTGTTACAGTAAAGTAAATGAGCCTCTATACAGCAGGTGTCCCAGGGATAGAAGCAGTTTGTGGATAATTAATAATAGGACAACTTAAACATCTGACTGGTCTAAAATCTTAAAAAAAAAGAAAAAAAAAAAGCTTCAGCTGATTGTATTTTTAAAAAGATATGTGAAGTGCTATTTTGTAAAGAATTTTTTTCCTCTCCGTTTAACAAAAGGAACTAAACTTCCTACTTTTTGATGTGAACTGCAACAGAAGATGACATTATTTTAAGCCTGGGATGGTAACAAACCGGGACATGTCAGTATATGCTCTCACATTTGCTGTCAGCAAACATCTGCATTCTTACAGCAGAGCTTCAGATATTTTTTTTTCTGCTGCAGTCAAAGCAGTTCAATAATTTTCTGCTGAAATATCATCAAAGACCAGAATGGAGAAAAAAAAAAGAAAGAGAAAATCCAGGCTGACCTGGAAGAAAGTGAAACTTTCAGTCAACATGCCCTGCACAGACTACTGAAATATGCCCTTTGGAACTAGATGTTCCGCCCTGAGGTGCAAGACAGAGCCCCTTTTATTTCACCCTTGATTCAAATGCACAGAGGAAAGTCATGACACAAACAAAAAGTGGGGGGGGGAACTTGTGAACTTCGTTAAGTCACAATCCAGAGACCACTGACAAAAAGACGATAACCAATTCCAGACGATGTTAAAAAAAAATAGAGCTGCCGTCATCGGCTTCTATCCCCTTCCATCAATGCATGGATCTCAAACAATGTTCATCAAACTAGTGGAGGAGACATTCGGACCCATCCCCCACTTCTTCTTTTAGCAATCCCAGGAGATTGGCTGCAGCGCCCAGCAATGAATACATGTGGGGACTCCGGTGACCAGAGCAGAGACGGCGCGGCGATAAAATGTTATAGGCAGCAGATGACTGCCTCTTCCCTTTGACCTTCCCCTGTTACGTCCAATCATTTCTCAGCTTTACTAAAAGAAAAAAAAGAGCATCCATTTGTCTCCGACTCATTGAGGAGATGAAAACATCGCTTGAATTTGTTGCAAACTGTGCAGTGGTTGATTCAAATTGAAGGGAAAATTTGTGTATCGTAAAAAAAGGATGGGGGGGGGGGAAAAGCGGCTATTTATCTTTCATGTCGGATGCCTATGGTCAGGAGAAGGATTGGAGAGATCATTTGCATGAGAATGCATGCCTATGCTGAACTGGTAAGATGGGGGAGGCAAGCTGTTTAATTCAGCAACAGCGCTCGCTTGTTGGGGATAATTCCTGTGCATGGCCAGGGGAAGATTAGAATTGGTTTTCTCGTAGTGTCGGAGTGAGCAGGGCGGGTCGTCCGGCAGCGTAAGAAGAAGAGGGAGCTCGGTGGTTTGTTCCTTCAATGGTGATTAAGAGCCAGACGTTAAAAGATCCCTCAAGTTTTCCGCCCTTCGCTACTCCCCAGCTCTGCAGCTCCCTCCTTCTCCCTCCTCGTCTCCCCCGGAGAGCGGGGATTACTGACACACTGGTACGCACAAATGGCACTTGCTCAAAATTAAAAGACTTTCACAGGCTGCTAATCTAATGAGGGTGGAAGAGGGTGGCGGGGAACGAGCGAGCGCCATTTCAGACGCCCAAAATAATTAGAAGAAGAAGGAGAAGAAGAAAAAGAAAAAAGGGACAAGAGTGGATTTTCATGTTTACCGCCAACACTGCCCGAAACGGTAAAAAGAAGCTGCAAAATGCAAGAGAGAGCTCCAGAATTCCTGGGAGGCAAAGAAGAAAGTCAAAATTTGTGTGTGGCGGCAGGAAGACATTTCACATCCCAACAAAGTTTCAAGCTCATTTATCAACCTGGATCTCCTCAGGCAAAGCATTTTAGGACAGTCCGCCATAAACTCCTTCTAATCTCTAATCAGGATGCTACAAACTGCAAAGGTTCATTATTGGTATTGTAGAATATTTGTTAAAACTTGTCCAACTGCAGAGCGGTGTAACACTGACCGCTCTGTGACACCCAATCTGGCCCCAGTATAAATAAATAACGGCCGATAATGACAGCAAAGCTCCTCAAGGCTCATGTACTTAAGGTGGTAATAAACACATTAATAATTATTTAACAAGCTAACAAATAAACAGGAAATCCAAGATTCTTACCCTCATCTATTGAACTGAACAACTGTTACCAGTCTTCAATGGATTTTGTAGGAATTAAAGTGAGTATCTGCAACATCTAGTAGCAGCTAACGTTGTTAGCATTAGCTGCTGGGCAGGTGGTCGGATAAGGAAACGTGTCAATCCATTAATGAGAACAAAAATGTCTATTTTAAGTCTTTCTTGGTGCTCGCTTCACGTTCACCAGCTTCTGCTTGTTAGCTCGTTAGTGAGCACACATCTTCTGTTAATTTAGTTTTAAACCCGGTAATAGTAACTAAGGCTGCTAAATATATAAAAATATCTGTACGCAGCATCACCGTCGCAATAAAACCACTTGGACGGCAATAAATATAAGCTGATTGCATGCAGTTAAGTACTGCACGGTCACTCTCTCTCTATATACCACTGATATATTTGGTGATGCTTGTTGTTTAATGTAGCAGAAAATGTTTTAGGAAGGCATCTAGTCGTTCTGGTGAAGTCATTAAGAAACCAAACAAAGCTGGTTTCTTTAATAAAAACAGCAGATGAAGTCAGACGCAACTTTTTCAGTGTAGCTCGGTTATTAAGGGGGAAATAATGAAGCTCTTGTCTCCCCCCCCCAGTATCTGGACAGACAACTTAATATCTAGGGTTGATGTTTGCAGTGAAGCAGGAGCGCTTTAACGCCCGCAAGTATTTGATTATTTATCTAAAGCAGAGGTGTCTAAAGTGCGGACCGGGGGCTATTTGCGGCTCACGGACCGACTTTGTGCGGCCCCCGACTCCAATTCAACATAATGCTTACTGCCTCCTATAGCACATGTGTTTGATACAGACGGAGACTTTTCATTTTTAACCAGGGCAAAATTATTACAGAAATTAAAATCTTACTTCAGAAATGTTGGCTACTGCACAAAGTATTCAATACTCAGGTTTTTTGTATCTTCCTGTAGGGACTGAGTATATCCAGCACACTTTGATGCATCCAGATCTGCTTTTAATGAATTCATTAAAGATATACTATTTAATTCAAAAAGTAGCCTAATTCTTGTTTTTACTGCTCAAAATTGACAAAAAATACATATTATTTTCAGTGGAGAGCTTAAGAGATTCACAAATCGGGCCCTCTCTTTTAGAGGCAAACCTGCAAAACCTTTTTAAAGTTTTGGATCAACAACAATTCACACATCGCTTGCCAAAATAAACGTATTTAAAAAAAAAAAAATAGGAGTGGTTTACTCATATTAAAAAAAGCAATGCAACATAGTTTATTGTCAAGTAGGTTTTTTAAAAAAGTCTGTATTTTGCTTCTTTTTCCCCCTTGTTTGTATTTTGGCCCTCAAGTCATTTTGAAATGTCAATTTTGGCCCATTTGACAAAAAGTTTGGACACCCCTAATCTAAAGTTAGATTGTCCATCGTCACAGAGGGAAAAAAGATTTAAGAAAGATCCTAAAGATCCGATCTATAGTCAGAAGGAAAGAAAGTAGTATGCCACACCCATGTGGGAATGACTTAATCCAACATATTAAGACATGAGACGCAGACAATGGTAAAAAAAAAAAACACACACAGGGCTCCTGATGCAAAGCGTTCCAGACGTTCCTCAAAGAAAAATGCTGCGTTGTAAGTCAGGCCAGCGGTCAATTAGCTCTTTCCTATCAACATAACACTCGAGATACGTTTCATCTCCTTTCCAGCGCTTGTGGAAAGCACAGCAGCATCTCCAGCAACCTGCAAATTAAGATGCTCCATAACACGTCCTCCTGCTTGAAATGAAGCCCACTCCATCAGAGGGGCCCGAGCCAACCGCTTCAGGTTATTACCAGCACCCGTTAGGCTTGAATGAGCCGCCCATCGTAGCCTTCAGCTCCCAATCCGAGAGTCCACTTCAGGCACAAAGTCTCATAATGAAAGGGGGGAGGGAAGCGGAGAGGGGGCCGCAGACAGGCTGTGTGTGGCTCAGGAAGCAAACTTTCATCTACATGGCAGAAAATGTGCATGAAGACGGCTTTTCATGCACATTTCATCTTCCACATCTCATGCTGCTCTTAGGAGGGGAAAAAAAAAAAAAAAAGAAGCAGAAAGCAGAGAGTCGATGCGTCGGCCTCGTTTCTGCATGGCTGTCTGTGCTGGACTGTACTTCTCTCTCAAGTAACGATTGCCCACCTATGCCTCTACGTCTGCTTGCGTCGCGCCAAGCTAGAATGCAGAGTGCCGATTTGTCCGAAAGATTTGTCGCAAGCGTGCAGGCGAAACGCCCCGGTGTCTGCCAGGAACCCGAAAGGCCCTGCAGATGTTGGCACCGGCAGCAGGGTCGGCTGGATTATCAGTCAGCCGATTGGGTAAAGGCGGTGTTAGATTACACGGATAACAACACTTCCTTACTGCTCTCACTTACAGGGCGTCCGACCTGACAATCACCCTCTCGAATCTTTTTTTTTTTTTTTCTTTTTTACGGCGCAATCAATAGCAAATCTTGACATCATGTTCAAGTGTTTCCTTTATAAAAGCTCTGAGCACCACACTTTCCCTTTTTATCTTTTACAGCCATCTTTCTTTTATAGGCGCGTAACCTTGAGTGAATCTACGATCGCTTCACAGGTAAAAAAGTGAATTTTCTAGTCATACTTTTTTCTTTCCATGTTCTTGCAGCAGCAGAGTAAATTATTTCCTCTTAAAGGCCCCCCCCCCCATCTTCTCCCCCCCTAAACTACCCGTTTCAACGACCTCCATTATTGAGAAACTACAGCCACCTTGGGCATCGCTCTGTAAGCCTCTATAGAAGCGAAGGGGAACGGTCCCCTCTTACCTGCGAGTTCGTGGTGGATCAGGTCGGCGAAGTTGGGGTCGTCCCCCCACCAGAAGAGCCACAGCTCCCTCCAGCCCTGCCGCTGGCTGCGCCGCCACACGCTCAGCACGTCGGCCTTAAGGCAGCGGCTGAAGCTGCACAGGATGGGGTCCTCCTCCGTCACCGGGAAGAGGATGGGGGCAGAGGTGGGACCCTGCCACACGAACTTCTTCCATTTGATCCCCGTCAAGTCAGCCTGCAACCGAGGGGAGAGAGGGAGGAAAAGACAGTGAGGCGGGGGAGGATTCGCTGGTGTACAATTCAGCACCTTTTGGGGAGGAGAGGCAGGAAATGAAGTGTAATAAGCAGTTTTTACAAAAAAAAGATTATATTGTTTCTCTTTGATGATTACTGCTGTAAAACAAAAAAAGAGGGAGGGAGGAAACTAAAGAAAAATGGTTCTTAAAGTGCCTTGCAAATTTTGTTATAAAATTTATTGCTATACGTCACAGTAACAAATTTTGGCTGGAAGATACATGGCCTCAGAAATTATTGTGATGAATGATTATGTTGTCATTTTCACACTGATTTTCAAGTGATATACTGAAAATGGCATGACAACAATAATAACAATAATAAGGAAAATTTGTCCTCTCAAAGATCAATAAACGTGAACATTTAATGCTGGAACTGGAAGACTTTTTCTTTTAAATATTCAAAACAAATAAAACATAACAACCAAAAACAGTGGATATGAATTAGAAATAAACACCAAACACAACCAAAGCCATAAATGAAACAGATTAGGACGTTTCTGTGAATAAAACAGGCCAGTTTACTTACTGGACCGATACCGATATGTTCAAAACCGGCCAATGTCGATTTATCGTGCAGCCCTAGTTAATTGACTCTTTACCAATTAGATACATTCTTAAGGCAAATGGATGCTGTCTTTACTTTAGTAGCATCAGAGTAAATGGGATTGAAGGAAAAGGAATGGCATACTTTTCAGATTTTGAATTATCAAAATTAAAAATAAGAACTATATAAAGACTGATTCATCTTAAAACTAAGCATGGACTTGTGGTGTGTTGCTTTTTGATTGTTGTTTTTACTTCTATAACATGGGGCCAGACTTTAGAAAGGACTTAGAGGGGCGGTCGCCCAGGGCCTCAATTTTTTGGGGGCGGCCCAAAGATTTTAAAGTTGTTTTTTTTTTATTTAAAAACAAACATTGTTCTTTGTATGAAACTCATAGGTGAGTTGCAGCGTATTAGATTTTTTATTAACATAATATTCAACAGTTTGAAAACTATATCGTTACAGTAGACTTCTTTGGGAACAACATCAGCTAGGGGACGTATTAACCATCCTGCTGATATATAGGACTAACTATTAATGTCATTTGCATTGGTAAAATAAGTTTTGATTAGTGGATAGGGACCCCAAAGTCTCCAGCTCAGGGGCCCACATCCTTGTAAATCCGGCCCTGGTGTAACGTGACGAAAGTTCAGGGGTTCCAAGGAATTCATGAAGGCAATGCATTTGGAAGATTTTGTTCAGGACTGTTTAGGATTACAAGGAACAGAATGTTCAAAACACATCATGATGAAGTAGTTCTGGTTCGTATAGTTTCACTGCTTTTAATCCGTATTATTGCCGATTGCTGGCAGCGGCGGAGTCTGCTTTTACGCAGAGAACCCAGAGGAGAAATCTTCGCAGGCACTAAATCACCAGCAGGGTTATTAAGTGTTAAAGCAGGAACATTACGCCCCGCTGCTGGCTCGGGCTGCTGCTTATCAACCCATGTTTACCTAAACACACGCAACACATGCCGGCTACCTTAGAACACAAACGCGATGCCTTACAAGCACTCGCATGCGTTCCCCTGCTGGCGTTCGTGGGCCTCGATTTATCCTTGTAGGCATTTCAACTAATCCGCAACAACACGGCCTGTTCATTACACAGCCGTTTAGTCCTGCTTCGCTCGGGCAGACTGAGAGAGCCTTCCCGCCGTATATTCAACCAATTAATCCATTACAATTCAGGGGGATACCTTAACTCAAGTTCAGACGCATCGAGCGTGAAAAAGTGATTACTCGTGGTTGTGGAGAAGCAGTGGTCTTTCGTCTGAGTAGGGTTAAGCTGGGAAATTTGTGGTAGAGGTGTACGCCGTTTGTCGTCAAGGTGGACCTAAGGTGGGACTCAGAAACAGGTTGGTATTGATAACGACAATCTTCCTGATCCATTTTAAAGCCTAGTCTCGCCTCCCCATTCCCCATAATAAAGGCATTTTTAGTCAAGAAACCTTAGAAATAAAAAAAAAGTCTTATCTCTGGTAACAGAAAGCTGAAGGATTTACTCTAATTTAAAAGATGTGAGCTGAAGAAAAAAAAAAAAAAGAAAATTTTAAATAGAGAAGCACAAAGCAATTAGATGGTTTCGGCTTGATCGGCATCTCAAGAGGCGAAAACTCAAAAATCGACTTTTTTTGATCATTAAACGCAACGTGCCGTGTCACGCAGAGAACACTCTTGGGGTGTGGGGAAGCTGTTATCGACTGAAGAACCCAAAGTTAGCCGTTTTCGATATCAGTTTGATGTTTAAGAAGAAAGTCGGGAGAGACGGATTTGAAAGGCAAACACGTTTCCTCCGACATGTCAGCATATGTCTGTTCAGGATGACAGAAAGCGAGCAAGATTTCCCGCTACGATACATTTATTGTATCGTTTATTCTTTATTGTGATAAAAGATAAATTCCATTTAACGGTGTAAAAAAAAAAGACAAAAAAAAAAACTATCGATATTAATGGGATTGTTAGCTTTACTATTTTATTCACTGTTTCTTCATTGACAGCATCAATAAATATCAATAAACTTGAACATACATTTAGCAGTTACTGTGTGTAGTTTAGTGATACAAAATCACACTAAAGAAACTAATTTCAATGTTTTTATTCAAGAGCAGCGTTTGTGGATATATGATTGCAGTGAGAGCCACTTAAACTTACCTAAAAGAAATAAGTAATAACCCGCTCTTACTGTCACTTTATTCATTATCACAATAGTACCACGAAATATTGTGATAAAATTTTAAGTCCATATCACCAACCCCCTTGCTTTCTGCAAATAACAGAAAAGCTGAACAGAGGACAGAAAAGGCTTTATTTTTACTGTTTTGAGTTTTCAAACACGCTGCATTTGGAAATGATGGCAGGATTTGGTTGTGCCCTTGTTAAAGTAAGAATCTAGATTCCCTAGGAAAGTTGCTCCCCCCGCTGATGTTGCAAATTGACAACTGCTGGTAGAAGGAGGCGATAAAGACTTAAAATATCCCAACATTTTGTGGAATTTATTGTGAAAATGACAAAAGCAACAATAAGAAAAAGTTTCTTTGCCATCTTTTTTAAGCAACAGTATGATTCACTGCATGACGGGCGCAATGAAAGCCCCCGAAAGACAAAGACTGCTCTTAAAATACCAGCTGCACTTACGTAGAGAAGTGTGATTTTTATCACCAAGCTACTAACTGTAACTGAATTGAATCATGTTTTTCAATTAGTGGAGAAAATTGCAAAAATAAAAATTCTATACGATCCAGTTTTATGGAGTGTTCAAACATCGTTAACTGGACTTCATCATTATGCGAGTAAATCTAAATTATTTTCATGTACAAATATTCACAATAACAATACATGACAAATGCCCAATCCTTGAGCAAAATTACCAATGATAAATCATTTTTATGCCATTAGATAAATTACATAGGTTTTAACACAATTAATCACTTTTTTTTTGTCAGTTTTTTTTTTTTTTTAAGGCAAAAGTCCTGAGGCATAACCTTTGTATTTGTATGTCTCTGGCACATCTGTAAATGTGATGAACAAGCAACATGGGTGAACGGCGATGGACACTGACGCCGCTTCTCTTGACCCACTGGAGGTTTATTTTTACTAAAAAACAACAATCTGATTGAACACTGAAAAGACTACTGTATGCTCAAGTTGTGCTAAGAGGAATTGACCCATCAGCGAAGCTATTCCAGGCTAAAATATAATGTCGGTGTTAAACACAGCGCAGCAGAACAGACGTCCGATGCCAACGCCGGTGTCCACAGCCCACATTTCTAAAGGAGGATTCTTTCAAAGTAGTTCCATGAATGATCAGATGTTGATTAAACACTTAAAAGCTGAATGGTTATAATCTTACTTTGTACTAATCTAATGGTAGAATAACGTAAATATAGATTAAAAACAAACAAAAAAAGTATTTGTTGAGCTCATCTATTTTTTCAATAATCTGGCAGCAACATTCTTTGAATTTCAAATTTTGTCAGTATATAGTTTTCGATTAATTAAAAATAAAATTGGTGACCAGAAAATTCTGATCGATGCATCTCTTTTTCGTTTCTTTCTACCAAACACTAACCGAACATTGATCACAAAAAAGGAAAACCTCTAAACACATCACAACAGCCATGGTGTTCGTCAGTCAACCACCTTCCACGCGGCGCTATCGTACACATCAATCTTCACCAGAAAAACGTCAGAACTTTGATTCAGCTGCTCTACTTTACGCATCAAACAAAACAAAGCAAATGTTTGCTTTGTACCCACCACCAGCAACAGTGAAGAAAAAATAAATAACAAAATCAAAGTGAGGTTGCAATATATTCTTGTTTTGCATAAGAACACACCATAATTACACTACATGCATCAAAGCGTGATCTCTGATGAGCGACCAGACTTCCTGAGGAATTCTAAAAATGCTGCCTATACACGCAACTCAGGGGGGGTTCAAACAGCCAAAAGCGCGGCCTGAGTGCGATGGCAGCGGTGCAGCGGGCGGTTGGGCCCCGCTCTTTCCTGCTGGAGTGCGAGAAGCACTACTTTACACCTGCGCCGCGCTCGGAAACATCTGTGCTCACAATGGAAAGGGAGGGTGGAAACAACGGTTAACTGTGAAACCAGATCGTAAGCGGTGGAGACAGGCAATTAGAAGGTGAGCACCCTGCATCGTCTTAACCACCGCGTCCGGACCTCCTCTGTGTGTGTGCGTTGTATCTTATGGAAGGCTTTTTGTTCTTCCTCCCGCAAAAAATTGGTTTTTACACTTGTATGTGCTGCTCGGGTGGGGCGGGGAGAGAGGGGGGAACGCAGGAATCTAACAGTTGCTGAAGCCCTGAAAAAAAAAAAAAAACCCTAAACAAAAAAACTAACATTCAAATAGTAGTTTCAGTTTGCGCTTTCACTACTG